ATATAACACAATACAATATAATATAAAATAATATAATAAAAATATAATACAATACAACACAACACAACATAATAGTAATAATAAGAGTAATAGTGTCACTCTGGAGACTAAGGTGCTTCTGATACAGGCTATGGTCTTTGCCATCACTTGTTACGCATCAGAGAGTTGGACAATGACTAGGGAGGATAGAAGGAGAATAGACGCCTTTGAGCTGTGGTGCTCTAGTAGAGTATTGAATGTACCATGGACTGCCAAGAAAACAAACAGATTCAACCTGAAGAGGGTTAAGCCAGGCTGCTCCTTGGAGCCAAGGATTCTGGGGCTTCGTCTGACATACTTTGGGCATGTTGCAAGGAGGCACAGGTCCTTGGAGAGGGACAGCGCAGGAGGGGAAGACCCTCTATGAGGCGGATTGATTCTCTGACTGGGGTATTCGGGATGGGTGTGTCAGAGACAGTGCGATTGGCACAGGATAGAGCAGGTTTAGGGCTGTTGTACATAGGGTCGCTATGAGTCGCAAGCGACTCGACTTCACACAACAACCACAACAACCGTGAGCCATTTCAATTTAAGAAATTTCTAGTTGCTGCGTTGTTTTACCGCCGCAAATTAAAATAGTAAAAGACTACTTGAAATAAAAGACAGTCCTCGGCTTTCCTAAATTCCATTTATGGTGAAGCCACGGGCGGAAAAGACTTTTATCCTAAAGTTAGGCCTTTTATACTTAAAGCCAATCTGGAAACTAGGTATTTACTCTGCTTACCTGTATATGGTTTGACAGAAGTACTTTTAAAGCTGGTGATATTAAAGCCATGTTACGAGCCTTAAGGATAATTTACATCATTAAGGTCTCTGAAAATGGCTACATCGGGAAAAAAAGAAATAAAACCAGTCTGGGCCCATCTCATACTGTCTTTCTCTACTCCATGTGTGTTGCTTCTCCCAATAGGTTCCAGGAGCTTGATCTGAGTAAAGAAGCCTTTTTCTTTCATGATACACCAAAGGAGGAAGAGTGGTTTAAAGCTGTATCAGATGGTCTTCATCCAACTGCAAAGTATGCAAAGGTAATAGGGGAGTTTAGTCCTTTTTTCATTTCTGGGCAGGGGAATGCTAAGTTGTTGTAGTTTCGATTTTATCATGTTGTTAGCTTCTGTTAGGTCAGCATCCAATCCTTGGTAACCCCATGCACAATAGGATCCGATACTGTGATCTGCAGGGTTTTCATTGGCTAGTTTTGAAGGAGATTTCTTTCTCAGTCTCATTCTGGAAGCTCCTTGAAAAGCTTCTTCGTAGCTCCACGAAAGACTCTACTGACAGATGGGTAATGGCAGTGCTTGAAGTACCGAGGGGGTGGGGGGGGGATCAAACTTGGATCTCCTGCATGGAAGTGAGACTTCTACCACTGAATCACCACTGCCTTCAGCCTTTATCACAGGCTAGTTCTAATATTTTCAGTTGCAGATCTTCTAGAAGGGCTGTCTTTGGGTGGGAAAGCTGCAAGGTCTTGGCAGCATTTAGATTAACAGTGAGTCAGTACAACAGTGAATGAATGAAAACCCAAAATCTCTGTAAATGTTCATTAAAATTAATAAAATTTAATTAAACAACAACAACAAAAAACAGTGAGTCAAACTCTGTGTCTTAGTATGAAGGAGGTTGTTGTTCTTATTGCTTGCCTTCGAGTTGAGCACAACTCATAGCGACCTTATGAACAAAAGTCTTGAAGCCCCTCCCTCTCCAATTATCGACATTTATCAAAATTCATAGGGTTTCCAGAGGCATGTTGTTTAGGAAGTGGATGCCACTTCTGCTGCATCAATATGTACAACCAGCTTTGGGATATTTACTCATATTTGTAACTTCTATTTAATGCTGTGACTTGAATGGACTCTGGTGTTGGTTTTGCTTTCCAGGTGAAGCTCATTCGAATGGTTGGGATCATGTTGTTGTTATATGTCAAGCAAGAGCATGCAGCACACATCTCAGAAGTGGAAGCAGAGACTGTGGGGACAGGAATCATGGGCAGGATGGTGAGTTCCTGGCTCATATATTTGGTGCTCTTTTTGGCCCAGTTCTCATGGTGCATTGAGGTTTGTGGGCGCTAGGTTGAGCAGACTGAGTTGCCAGCTGATGCACCTCACAAGTGTGCCTCCTTGGGCTTGACATGACACTGGAGCCTCCAAATGATCCCTGGTGTAACCTGTGAAGTACTTTGAAGAGACTGTGTTGAGTCATCAAGGAAAAGACAGACTGTTGACAGTAGGTGTGCAACTTCCTCTTCTGCAGGCTTTGTAAGTCCTTCTTTCAGGTTCTTCTGCAGCTTAGCTTCGTGTGGAGAAGTGAGAGCATAGGGCTTGCCTGCAATTTAATGAAAAGAGCATATGTTGATGTGGGTGAAATTTCCAAATATAGTACTGAGTGAAAGAAATAAATCATAGGACAAATACTATATGATCTTCCTTGCGTGAAGTATCTAGAATAGATGAGAACGTAGCTCAGTGTTCATTAGTGGTTACCAGGAGTGGCTGGGAGGAGAGGGAGAGCAAGGCCCAGTGTTAAGAGGACACCAAGCTTCTGTTAAGGGTAAAGGAAAAACTTGGAAATGATAAGGGTGATGCTGAATAGCGTGGTGAACATAATGCTACTGTGAGGTTTGTTGAAATGGCAAATATTTTATATACAGACACATATATTCCTCAGTCACACACAAAACCAAAAAGCATCCCCATGGACTCCAGAGCTGGCTGTACACCTGGCATTATCACCGGCTGCCCAGTCATTTTGTCTTCCTGGATTTGTTTTCTTTTATAAATAAAATACCAACGATACAGATACTAACAGCTGTTGCGCTTACCCTCACAGGATCATTGTGACCACTAAGTACCATTTGGAAGCTTTATAGGTGTAAGTGATGGCCACAGTGGAGACACGAGTCAAATTTCTGTTTGGGGATCCTTTTCCCAGGGTAACAAAGGTGGTGTGGCGATCAGGTTCCGCTTCCACAACACCAGCATCTGCATTGTGAACTCCCACCTGGCAGCCCACACGGAAGAGTACGAGCGGAGGAACCAAGACTACAAAGACATTTGTTCCCGAATGCAGTTTTGCCAGGCTGACCTAAGCCTGCCACCTCTCACCATCAGCAAGCATGAGTGAGTCTGAGCGTCCGCTCTGCTTTGAGTTTTTCCTCATCTGAGGTCCAGAGTTGTGGGTTCTGTGTTGTTAGGCAGGTGACTGGGAGGCACAGTGGTAGTAGCTGCTGACAGGGATCATCCTGGCTAGCTCTCGTTACATGTAGATTATAACTCGTGGGAACTTTCTGTTCTCTAACTTAACCTTATGAAATCAGAGAAACTAAATCCCTTGTCACTGAGTCCGTTCTAACTCACAACAGCCCCATATATTACAGAGTAGAATTGCTCCGTAAAGTTTTCTAATTGACAGTAGGGGTGCAGCTTCCTCTGCTTCAGGCTGGTTAAGTCCTTCTTTCAGATTCTACTACAGGAGCTTAGCTTCATGTGGAGAAGTGAGAGCATAGGACTTGCCTGCAATTTAATGAAAAGAACTGAAGTGGGCTGACCTGATACATGCTACAACGTGGATGAACCTTGCAAATATAATACTGAGTGTACCAAGTAAATCACCCAAGTACAATGTTGATGGTAATCTTTACAGAAGCAGTTCATGTGGCCTTTCTTCCATGGTACTTCTGGGTGGTTTCAAACCACGAACCTGTCGATTAGTAGTTGAACGTAAACCATTTCCATCATGAAGGGACCTAATCACCTGATAGACCTCTAGACCCCTTCTCAAACAGCATTTATCCCCAGAAAATGAGTAGCATTCACTTTGCTCTGGGTCCGCTTTGATCCAACATCATGAGAAAATCAACTGGAGAGCAAGCATATACAATTCTAATTCTTAGAAGGATGTTTAAGGATTTTACATATTTGCTCTTTCCAGAAACACGTGTCATTGAAAGTTGGACTGCATTTATTTGTCTTTTTTTTTTTTTTTTATCCTCTTGGTTTAACTTCACAAAGCTGTAGTAGTGGTTACTTGGATCATCTTGTGCTAGTTTTTGTTTACTTTATCTCTAGAACATCTTACTCATCTAAATTCGAAACATATTAGGATTTCAGACTTTACAGTGATACTTGAAGCTTGTGCCACTTCTTTTATGAAGAGGAAGATGTCATTGGGGTCCTAGTGTCTGTCAGGGAGTAAACAGAACGAAGCCTCTCTTTCTTCCTGTGTTAGGGTGGGGATAGCTTGAGCAGAAGCTCATTGGTATTCTGGAAGCTTACAGAAAAGCTTTCATTTTCCAGGGAACCCAGCAGGGAGTGTGTCTCCCAGCTGAGCTCTGCCTTTCCTGGGAACTTGCAGCACTGTAGTTTGTGGTGTTGCAACTTGCATGGCCCTTTGTCTGCGTTTAGCTTGTCGGTGCATTTATTTTGAGAGTTGTGTCCTGCTGTGCACGTGCTCTAGTGACATGGTTATTGGTTTTCGAGAGAGCAGTGTTGAACTTTTATGGGATGTATGATGTCATCGGGGAACATTCTTTATCCTAGAGCAGGAGGTGATAAACTACCTGTCACACTTTGCACAGGGGTGCAAGAAAGAGCCAGCTGATAGCGTGGTGTTTAAGTGGAGCTTTGCTCAGAGGAACTCAGCTCAGAAACAAAAGCAGAGAAGGGGTGTTTTGTGAACTCGAGGTTACTCTACCTGGGGGTAGAGGCATTTGTGGTATCGTCTGGTCTGGGGCTCCTGGGCCAATTGCACATGACAGATCTTTTCTGTTTCAGGACACCAAAAATGAGATAAATTAGCATCTTGCATTTTATATCTTCAGAAACTTCAACTCTTTGCCATCTGGTCGATTGACACTAATAACTGACCCTCAAGCAGGTTTCTGAGGGTGTCAGTTGCTCCGAAGGAGATTACCCATCTCTATCCCTGCTGGGTTCACACTACCGGAGAAGCTCGGCCTTTGGGTTGGCAGCACAATTCACTATAGACAGATCATACCAGCAGAGAGCCTTTGTGGATACCAGTAGTCTATTTTTAAGGGGCTCTGATGATGTAGTCTGTAGAGAGTTGCACAGCTAACTCAAAGGTCATGCCTCTCTGGCTGTTTGAACCCACCACCAGCTCCCTGGGAGAAAGATGAGAGATCTCCTCCCATGTTTTTTTTAGTTTTGGAAACTCGCTGGAGGGTCACCTGTGAGCCAGTTTTGACACCACAGCAGTTACTCTGAAGTTTTTTTTTTTAACCTATTTGTATTACTATTCAAAAAGAATCAAGAACTCAAGGCTGTTTGTAATGAGTTTTGACCAAGATAATTGAGTAAGCAGCATGTTAGAGCGGGTCTTAAAAGGGAGGGGGGAAAAATATTTTCTCAGCATCTGCTCACTTCCCTTCCCAGCTCCCAACAGGCTGAGCCCTAGGAGCGTTGTAGAAGCACCCTGGAGAGGACGGGTCTGAGTCCCTCCTAACCCTGCTTTTCCTTTGTTCTCTGTCCTCACAGTGTGATTCTGTGGCTGGGGGACCTCAACTACAGGATAGAAGAGCTGGAAGTGGAAAAAGTGAAAAAGCTCATCGAAGAGAAGGCCTTTCAAACCCTATATGCATATGATCAGGTACCAATGGCCACCTGGGCCTTGTGTGGCCATGGAAACCCTGGGCTTTCCATCTTGGGTTTCTTCTGCTTAGGAGCTTGCCCTGAGGAGTTGACGCTGGCCAGATGTTTCCTAGTTACATCTGCATTTCCCTCTTTCAGAATTGTTGCCCTATTGCCTCATTCTTTAAGATTCCTTCTACCCATTAAAGAGCTTTCTGTTTCTCTTCTCCCTCACTTAAGAGGAACCCGCTGGTCTTCATGGTGGCGTAGCTTAGCATTTCTTCTGTAGACCCTTAACACGTTGCCTCAAATGACAGCAAATGTGTTTCTAAGTACAGTCATCAATTTTAAAGGTGTGCGGCAACTTGTCCATTTCACAGTACTGGACTTTCTCTAGTCTACTTTGGTCAGTAGATTTCAAACTGTCAAGTGGTTGGAGTCATTTAAAATGTTACTTTTTCTTCACAGTTTTATATTGTCATTAGTCTAGATCTTTTTGTGACCCAGTCAATTGAAGGGAAAACATTTGTTACGTTTTTATGGAACAATCTTCCCTTTCTTGAGTGTTCTTATCTCCCCCCATTTCACTCCTTGGTAAAAGCCATTTGTTTCCTTCCACCTCATTTCATCATTAACCCAGTTAGTTCCATAACTCCCTGCATGTTGCCTCTCTGTTCTGGACTGAGCCTTTCCTCATTTCTCTTTGAGTTTGAGTTTTCTCTTCTTTCTTGTCTTATCTTTTCTGTCCTCCTTTATTCTGGCCTTTCTTGCTTTCCAGATGGTTTTAGGGCCTTTCTATACCTTTTCAGAACGCATTCACTGACATAAATGTTTATGTTTTTATTGTTTCCTGTTGCTTTTTCTTTAATAGTTCTTCAGGAAATCATGTCTCTGAGAGATTTGGCAAGTGGTGTCCACGTAACAGCTGACCATGTCCCCAGTGTTACTGCTCAGAGCTCTTTTCTAATTGGCTCAGTACAAGCTTTATGCTCCAGAGAGGAGGCAGGAACACCTGGGATTTTTCCTCTTGCTGGGAACTTGATCTTGAGCACGCTCCTAGGAAGGATGCAAGAAGGGCAATGCCAGCTGTTATAATAATGTATCAGAAATGGTTCTCAGTTGACAATCTTCCTAACAACCCTAATGGGTAGATTTCATTGTACACCCAAAATTTGCAGACAGGGAAACCAAAACACAGAGCTGCTCCCAGGTCACACAACTAACTTGACAGCACGGGTCTATGTCTCTGTATATTGTACACAAAGATCAGGTGTTTGGCACCAAAGGGGAAAACTCTGTGTCTGGTTGTGCCTACTGGAGAATAGCTCAGGAAGCTGGCATTTAGGCACCTGGGATAGAGGTACATGCTAGAAAGAGCCCTTAAGAATGTGTTGGTTTCAATAGAGTATAATGCAACTGTATAAAAGAATGAGGAAGATCTCTAAATATTGCTCTAGAGCAATTTTCAGGACATATTTTAACAAGGAAAAGAGAGTGCAGAACAGAGTACATAGTTTGCTATTGTTTGTGTCAAGTAGGAAAATAGAAATGGATAAAAGCGCGCGCACACACACACACACACACACACACACACACACATCTGTAGTGTGGATTTGCTTTTGTTTTAAAAAAAGAATAAAAATATATGCCAAAAATGGGGGGGGAAAAAGTGAAGACAAAAAACCCAACAACAAAAATCTGTGTTGGGGAAGGAATGACCAGTTTGCTCCTCTTCTTAGGAGTTAGTCAATGAAAAATCTTACAGATTTTTCCTGGGCTCTTCTGTTTGGATTCCAGCTTTGTTTACTTTTCCCTGCTACGTCAAGGTTTGGCCTTTTTATTCTGAGATACCCCCCTCCATCCCGCCCCATTGTTTTTTTTATAGTTGAAAAATCAAGTGGCTGCAAAGGCTGTCTTTGAAGGCTTCACGGAGGGCGAGCTCACATTCCAGCCTACTTATAAATACGATACTGGATCTGATGACTGGGATACCAGGTAGGTTGGAAGCTGCTTCAGGAAGCTCAGCAAACAGAAGCACAGACGTTCTGGGAGGCACTTGTCCCTGAGGACCTACAGAGGAAAATGAGTTGCCTGGCTTTCCTTATATCTTGAGCTCTGGTCAAACATTTTCTCTTTGTCTCTTCTTACTTAGCAGCCGATCTGGCTACATGCTTTCTATGCCCTTGTTTTGCCTGCATTTCATTTGACCCCCTTATCCTTTGTTTTATGGTGAATCTTGGTGGTCATTTACTTTCCAGCTCTCTTTGGGGTGATGAGATGACTCCAGCTGAGTTTGCTTGTGCTTGTGCCCTTCAGTGCATGGTGGTTAATGTTCTTCTTTGTTAGTGCTTGTGGTATGTCACACACCATTCATTCCCTGCTTTTTACTTGTATTGTCTCATTTAATCTCCTCCATCACATAGGTACAGTTTCTTACCCTCCTTTTATAAAGCAGGAAGTTCAAGCATAGAGAGACTGCAGAGCCTCCTAAGCAAGCAAGGGAGAGGGCCAGGATTTGAGTCCAGGCAAATTGGAGTTCAGAGCCTGTGGCCTTAGCCACTGTTCTTTAAGGACTATGGAGTACTTACTGTCAGCTTACTCTTTTGAGTCTCTTTTGATCCCCATTGGTGAGTAAAGAACAGAGAATCAGTCTGAATGGGGTTCTGACTCGAGCTTTTGTATTTGTTTTGGATGATCATCATAGGATACCTATTTTCCCTTGGTGGACCTGAGTTGGTCCTGCCTTGTCAGATAACCAGAAGATTTATCTGTGTGGTCTTGGAAGCCCTGCCCTGCCAATCTCTGACTGATCTGGACACTGACCACCTAGGGGGTGCTCCTTGTCTCTGAGAGAACTCCCAGTGTGGACTTTGCGTTTCAGTGAGAAGTGTCGTGCTCCTGCCTGGTGTGACCGAGTCCTCTGGAAAGGGAAGAACATCACCCAGCTGAGTTACCAGAGCCACATGGCCCTGAAGACCAGTGACCACAAGCCTGTCAGCTCAGTGTTTGACATCGGGGTAGGTGGGCAGCTGCTTCCTGCAGTGATCGTGTTGTGGGAAATCGGTTCTCCCAGACGCAACCACTTTTGTCTTTCTGGTCTTCTCTACCCTCTTGAGTGCAAGGAACCTTCTTTTTAAAATAGTTGTAACACTGTAATAGTAATTCACTATATTTCGGCATACATGTCCATTCGCTTTTGCTTTCCAGACCTTTTGCAGTGCATTGCTAAACAAGTTTCTTAAAGGCTACAGAGTACTCTGGAGCTCTGGTGGCCTAGTGACAAAAATCTGTGCTGCAATCCCAAAGGCATGGGATTTGAAGTCACCAGATGCTCCACGGGAGAAAGATTGGCAATCACCTCTTGTGCAATTAACTGCCTCTGAATACCCACCGAGGGTAGCTGTCGGTCAGTTCCTACTCTATGGTATACAACAGTGAAACAGTATTCTATAGTATGAGTAAGCTGTAATGTGTGTTCTGTTGACCATTTGTTTCCACAACTTTGCTATTATATGGAGTTATACTGAGTACTTTTCATGTGTGACTGTATATTTCTACAATTTATGTGTTTTTTGGAGAAAGTCTAATGAACGTTGCTGTTAAATTTTATTGTTGGAAAAAAGGGGGGAGGAAGTTGATCATAATATCCAGAAGAAATCTCTACAGAATCATCTTGGTTAATAGAACATGTTTTTTAAAAACCTTGCATACACTGCCTTAAATCAAATCTCTAGAATAGTTTCTTTCTGAAGGCTTGTTAGCAGCAGCAAACAAAATAGAAGTAGGCACTTCGCTTTTCTGCTCTAGACCCGGGGGAGGCCTGGCAGAACTGCCAATCTAGCTTTCACTCTCTTCCTTCTGTTAATCAGGAAGCAGTTGACCTTACCTCAAGCTTTGCCCAAGGGGAGCCCTACTAATTATCTTGTTAATTGAGGTCTTTCTTAATTAATGGGATCTTCTTAGCTTTCAGTTTCTGAATATTACTGTGTTGCTACCAACTGCTATTTCCCACTGCTGTGGATTTCTGCTGGGGCGGTGGGGGGTGGGGAGACAATGGCAGAAGCTGAGCAAGGTATTCAGCCGCTGATGTTTCCCTTCAGGTGAAGGTCGTGAATGAAGAGCTTTACCGGAAGACTCTGGAGGAGATTGTTCGCTCCCTTGATAAGATGGAAAATGCCAACATTCCTTCTGTGTCCCTCTCCAGGCGAGAGGTAGGAAGGACATGTTAAGAATATTGGCACCAATAGAATAGATTCTTCTATTCGTAGCACTTAACCTCACTAGGGCTAAGAAGAGGTGCCTATCAGAGTATTAGAATCTAGTGTTTCTGATAGGCTGATTCTAGATAGAGTACAGTGATGCTAATTGAGAAAAGATGGGTTGTTGGTTTAGATTATGTTTATCTCCTGATCTTCTAAGTCATCAGTCCTGAGCCTTTTGTAGGTCATGTATTTCGCCCACATGGACCACTCATGAGTTAAATGACGCATTATTTACTGAATGATGTTGTTTATTATGTGCTGTCATATCCATTCCAACTCGTGATGCTTAGGACAGAGTAGAAGTACCCTGCAGGGTTTCAAAGGCTATAAATACTTACGAAGTGACTGTCACATCATTCCCCTGGGGGGTGGCTGGTGAGTTTGAACCATTAAAATTTCCGTTGGCAGTCATGTGCTTTAACCACTGAGCTCCTTAAATAATGGCATGCTTTTGTTGTGTGCCACCAAGTTGAAACCGACTCATAGCTGACCCCCTAGTGGGTTTTCAGAGTCAGTAATTGCATGGGAGGAGACTGCCCATCCTTCTCCTGTGGAGCAGCTGGTGGTTTTGAACCACTTGCTTTCAGGATGCAGCTCAGATTCTTAGCACTAGGCCTCCAGAGCTCCCCTAAATAATGATAAGTTGTTTTGTGTACCCTCAAGTCTGAACCAATGCATAGCTGGCCCTCTAGAGGGTTTTCAAAGGCAGTTAATCACATGGCATCTTCCAAAATGTTGTTTGATTTTAGAATTACTAGTATGTGTCATTGCAGTGGTTTTGTCTTCCTAGGGATGCTTTGCTTTCTCTGAGAGGAAATTAGGTCTGAATTTTTGGGGTACACATGAGTTGTTAAGAGGGAAGAAGGATGGTAATGACAGTGGGGAGCATCTAATTAGAGCTAAAGTTCCATGGCATAGGTGTTAGGAGTTGACAATGCCAAGGTGGTTTTTTTAACACCTTTTTAGTTCTTTGCAAGTATGAGCTTTATCATTCACACTTAAGGGCAGAATTTATAAAAAAGAGTGTTTTAGAAATGAGTTTTCAGTGTATATTTGAACTTTGATTCCAGGAACTATATTTGCCAAAGATATTTGGTGATTTTGTTTGGTTGGGATATTTTTTTTTAAGTTTTTGGGGTTCAACATAAACAACAAGGTTTTTGGTGCTATTATTATATACTCTAAGGTAAATTACTTAACAAAGCAGAAACATTGTTTCAAAGAAATAGTTCTTTTTTTTCCCCAAGGTAAGAGTAGCCCAGGTGGGGTGGCCAGGTGGGTTGTGAGGACAGAGCACTGGTTCTGACTGCTCCTGGGTTTGCTCCAGTTCTGTTTTCAGGACGTTAAGTACATGCAGCTGCAAGTAGAAACCTTCACAATTCATAACGGACAAGTCCCCTGTCAGTTTGAATTCATCAATAAACCTCAGGAGGACTCCTACTGTAAGCAGTGGTTGAATGCCAATCCCAGCAGAGGGTTCCTCCTGCCAGGTAAAGCTTCCATCCCCCGGTTCCTAGTTAAGATCTGGGAGTGATCTACCCTGTCTTTGCTTGTTCTCCTCAACTAAGCTTTTTGCTTCTCAGTGTTTTAGTCTCCAAGTAAAAATGTTTTTAAAGATTCGTGAATAAACCAAGGGGCCCTGGAGGCACAGTGGGAAAGCACTCAGCTGCTGACCGGTAAGGTTGGCACTTTGAACTCAAAAGCAGCTCTGTTGATCTGCTCCCAGATGGACCTACAGGCTTGGAAACCCTGTGGGGCAGTTCGCTCTGTTCTATAGGGTCTGTGTGTCAAGTATGACTTACTTGCACTCAACAATAACAATAGAGGAGCCCATCACAAATAAGATGCAGAATAATGAGGAGCCTTAGTTCAGTTTCTGAAGCATTCTCATCAGTGGTAGAAATTTTGTTTCATAATTTCATGGAAAAAGAAAACACAGGATTTGCTGTGAAGTAGATACTGCTAACAGAACGATTTCTTCTACCTGTCTCACTATATAATCAGCTCCAAGTTAATCTGCTTCTATGAAGAATTATAACAAACCATTGCCACAGAATCAATTCTGACTTGGAGCAGCTCTGAAGGGTAGAGTAGAACTGCTCCATACAGTTGCCAAGACTGTAGGTCATTGCCAAAGCCAACTGCCACGTCTTTCTCTTGTGGAGCAGCTGATGGGGTTGAACTGCTAACCCTCTGACCAGCAGGCAGGTGCTTCTTTTGAGGAGCTTGACTGTAAGTGTTAATTCAGAAGTTCTGCTCTCTGTGGCGGATACCAGCTGAGCCTGCCCCTGACTTCTCCTTTTCACTCTGCTTTGTACTGTGTCGTGGTGGGTTTTAGCATGTTTCATAATAATTATATTTTCTGTTGAATCAAGTGTTTTTATCTTAACTTGTTTCGGAGAAAGCTCTTGGATTTATAACTCTTACTGTGTTAATGTTTCTCAGTTGACCCGTGCTCCTTCATGCTTAAATTGCATTGTGTAGCACGTGCCTGTCGGGACGTTTTGCTCTGTTTTCGTGTGCACGCTTGCACGGGATAAACTCCCTGCTCCTGTGTCTCTTGGATACTGAGTACAAAGATATTTGTTGGCTGGCCGATACTTTTTCTTTCTCTCTCCTCACCCTTTTTTTCTTACCCGTGTCCCTTTGTTACCTTTCTGTCCTGTGTTCCCAAGTCAGTGCTATTTTTTACATTTTTCTCCAGATTCTCACATTGAGATTGAGTTGGAGCTATATGTAAATAAGACCACGGCTACAAAACTCAACTCGGGTGAAGACAAAATTGAGGACATTCTGGTTTTGCACTTGGAGAGGGGAAAGGATTACTTTTTGTCTGTGTCTGGGAACTACCTGCCCAGCTGTTTCGGGTCTCCCATTCATACATTGTGCCACATGAAGGAGCCGATCTTGGACCTATCGCTTGAAACTATTAGAGAGCTGGTGAGTTCTATGCCGCAGGGAAATGCCTACAGCTATGTAGCGGTCAAGCTCTTTCTGACCTGAGAGTTCTTCACCCTCCCTAGAGCTTAGCATGTTAGTTTTATAATGCTATGTAACAAACCATCTCAAAATGTTGGCTTAAAACAACAGCTTACTATTTCTCATGGTTCTGTGGTTCTCCTGTGTGGTTCATCTGCAAGTCCTGTTAAGTTAGGTTCCTTGTATAATGAGAAGCAAGCAGCAGCTGTGATTGTCAGATAAATGAATAATTTCTGCAGTAAGAACCAACACAAAACTGGTTTCTGGGAGGTAGAAGTTAAAGATATCCCAAATGTTCAATTTTTCCAAACTGCTATATCATTTCATCATCTCTAACATCAGCTCCTTTCTCTGCCCTCGGTAGTTTCCTGCCTGTATTTGGGCTCAGTAATTCACTGTAGTATCTAGCAGAACTCACAGATTATACTTTAACAGTTAACTGGTTTATTAGATAAGCAACAGAGGATAATTTCGGATTAGAATCAACTTGTACGTAACAAGAACAACCCAGTGCACAGCTCCTCAACCTAAGGAGCTGCTTCTTTCCTTTTGCGCTGTGCTCTACTGGGACCCTCAGCCACGAGGCCCTGCTAGTGCCTCGCTGCTGAGGAGAGTCTGCTGTGGCTGGGCCCTGCTGGAGGCCCTCTTGGGCAGGGGTTACAGCTCTTAGCTCTGTGGGTCGGCAGGTCTCACCACAGCCTCTGCATGCTGGTCTTCAAGTTCCTGCCATCTCACAGAGCTATCACTCTTGCTGTCTCTGCAGCAACATTTCTCAGGGCTTTCCTTAAAACAGTTTTCTTTCTTTCAGTCCTGAGTCTAGGAACTCCCAGTTTAGGGGCCTTGACTCTAAAGGATGTGCTGCACTTCCGGCTCTGTTTCTTGATGGTCAGGAGGTCCCTTCTCTGCTTTAGTATTGGCTGTCTTTTAAGCCCAGCAGGTTGGCAAAACTCCGATCCCTCTTATTTGGGTGGCAGATACCTTATTTGCTTTGTCCCACCACCCACCGGGGTGCCGTGCATTTTATTTGCATTATTAGCAAGCTGTTCAAAGCCCTCAGTAGGTCACAAGCACCTTATTTGCGTAGTTTCTCCCAGTCATTTAATGAGAGGGCCATATTAAGTAATTCACTGCACTTCTACCAGAGGGGTTAGGATGGACCCCCTCATGTGTCTTCGTGTTGACTCTTCCCAGGGCCTCTCACTGTATATGGTCTCTCATCATTCAGTGAGCTGAACAGCAAAATGTTCACTTCTATTACATTAGAGAGACTAGACCATGGGTAGTAAGAGGGTGGATTCCCTAGTCCATGCTGTTATTTGTAATATTTTTGTTTAATCAATTGCTATTTTAGTTTCCTAAACAAATCCTGCTGACATGTAAAAAGTTGTGAATTTAGTTTGGAGCAGATTTATGCTAACATGTGTGCTCTTATTTTTTTTTTTTTTAAATTGAATTCTTGGCCTCTATCCACTCCATTGTATAGAGGAAAATAGAGGCCCAGTCAAGGAGTGACTGTCCCAAGTCACATGATGAGTTTGTGGACCTGGACCTAGATGAGGTTTTTGGACTCCTAAGCCTGGTGTGTTCCTTCCTGACTCAGACCACACCATCTTTCTGGTTCATGTAGTAAAGTGTTACAGGCATGGTTATTTTTCCTCCCAAGAAGATGGTGCCTATTTCACCTGTTTCATTGAAACTGATTGCCTTACCATCTTTCCCAAGTCTCGAAAGTCATCTTTCGCCCCTTGACTGCACCACCTGAGTTCATTCTTGCCTGTGGACCGTTTGGTCAATGGTACTAAAATGCTTCCCCTTTTCAGTGGGTTTCCTGCCCCCATGTCATGTGTTCTTCTGATGTCAGCCTGGCAGACAGATGATCTATTGGGAGGTCTTCTTGTCATGACTTTTATTTCTTCTCAGACCCTGATGCCACTACAGACTGAAGATGATGGGACTCAGTTGGAGAAACCCATGCAAATCCCTAAAGAGCTCTGGATAATGGTTGATTACCTGTATCGAAACGCTGTCCAGCAGGTAGGTGGCAGTTAAGGTTTGAGCCAAGTTGTCTTGAGAAAGAGCATCAGCCCCATGAACTTTACCCCATGAAACCTACAGAGAGAGCTATTTATCCTTTAGAAAGTCAGTGTGTGAAAGATGAGTTTATGTCTCACTCCATTATGCGGGCTGCTATTTTATGTTGTTGTTGTTATGTGCTGTCAAGTCTCCTACGACTCATAGCGACCCTGTGTACAACAGCCCTAAACCCTGCTCTATCCTGTGTCAATCTTATTGTCTCTGATACACCTACCTACATTTCCCCAGTCACTGAATCAGTCTATCTTATTGAGGGTCTTCCTCCCTTGCTCTGTTGCTCTGTCCCTCCACCCTCTCAAGCATGACGTCCCTCTCCAAGGACTGATTCCACCTTGCAACATGTCCAAAGTATGTCAGACAAAGCTTCACAATCCTCGTCTCCAAAGAGCAGCCTGGCTTTACCCTCCCCAGGGTGAACTTGTTTGTCCAGGGTATATTTAGTACTCTTCAGCACCACAGCTCAAAGGCATCAATTCTCCTTCTATCATCCCTAGTCATTGTCCAGCTTTCTGTTGCATAGCAAGTAATTGCAAAGACTATGACCTGTATCAGGCACACTTTAGTCTCCAGACTGGCATCATTGTTCTTCAGTACTTTGGAGAGGTCTCTGACAGCACAGCTCTGCTGTTATATGTAGCACTTGATTACTCCCATTCCAGCCTCTGGAAGCAGTCTTACACAGGAAGGTCTTGCCTGGCCTCGCAGGTCTTGTCAGCTAGAAAGCTGTCTGGCAGTCTCTCTGAGTACTTGCTTGCTCTCCTTGGCAGAAATTTTGGGGATGAGACGGACAAGCCAAGCAGAGGCAAAGGGCCAAATGGAAAACCCTGGCCATGGGTTGTTGTTGTCATGTACCATTGAGTCAGAACTGACTCATAGCAGACCCTCCAGTGGGTTTCAGAGGCTGTAAAGGACACTAGAGCTCCCTGGCCCATGAGTCAGGCCTGATTTTTAGTCACTTGAGTAAAGTTCATGAGATCAGACTGGTCACTGACCTGGGCTTATGTGAATCAGAGATGATGAGAATGGCACAGGACAGGACAGGGTTCAGATCCGTTAATAGGATTGCTATGAGTCGTATTCACTTGTTGGGACCTAACAACAAGGGAGCTTAGTGGGTAAGGAGTTGTACTGCCAATGACAGGATGTTCAAATCCACCAGCTGCTCTGTGGGAGAAAGGTGGGCAGTCTTCTCCTGTGCCATTAACATCCTCTGATGGAGGTCAGTTCTGAGTTATTTCCAACACTATAGAAATGAATTTGAGTTTTTTTTCATACAAACTATAATCCCATACATAGTTCTGCTATTTTAGAGCAACATACTTCTATTTTAATGGTTTTAAATATGTGTGTAACAAAGCATTTGCCATTCCAACTTTTTATGTATCTGTGTGGAGTTTATATACAACAAAAAATTAATGTATATGTAACAAAACGTCTGCTATTGTAATTTTCATGTATGCCAAATATGTGTTGTTGAGTACCATCAAGTCAGAACTGACCCATACCTGGCCCTCTAGTGGGTTTTCAGAGGCAGTTAAATACACGGGAGGAGATTGCCCATCCTTCTCCTGTGGAACAGCTGGTGGATTTGAATCCCATGCCTTCAGGATTGCAGTGTAGTTTCTTACTACTAGGCCACCAGAGCTCCAAAACATTTGGTAATTCAACATTTTCTACATATACATTTAGTGTTGTTGGTAAGTGTACATCATGTTCTTCAGTAATTATCTTAACAAGGACTTAATGTCTTCTAAACCATGAATCTCCTCTTTCTCCACTGTGCCTGCCTTAGTAACCACTCATAAACTTTGGTTTCTATACGTTTGCCTATTCTAGATATTTCATATAAATGGACTCATATAGTGTTTATCTTTTTGTGACTTACTTTACCCAGCATCATGTTTTTTTCTTCAAGGTTCATTAAACAACATGCATTTTTAGGATATTATGTTTTAGTTTTTGCTCCCCTTAACTGGCTATTAAAATGTATCAGGCCCTATTCCAAGTCTTCAAGGATTGCTTCATTTTCCACAATAGCTTTCTTTTTTTTTTTCCCCTGCCCCCAATAGTTTTCAAGTGAGAGCCCTCAGATAGAAGGGATCCCAAAATTGATAAAGGGTCAAGGGTGAAATTTGAATTCAGGGAGTCTGGCTATCCATGCCCACATTCTTATCACTATGTTATTCTGTCTTCTCTGTAGAACTCTTTGTTTTAGGTTTTTTTGGGGGGTGTGAGGGGAGGAACTCTATTTCACCTTATTAAAAAGAGCCAGAAGTTAACAATGGTTTGTTGGGGTTTTTTTGTTTGTTTGTTTTTGGTTTTTTTATGATAGTGGTCTTGTTTTTGTATTTTTTTAATTTTAAATTGATTTTCCTGAAAGTTTACAGAGACTTTGGATTTCCATTCATTCATTGTTGCTCTTTTCTCCCTGCCCCCCAATTCACTTTTCTTTTTGAAAAGTAAAAGAAAAAATTATTTTTCATTGTTATTCAATCCCTTACCCCAGAAGGTAACAATTTAAACCAAAGAACTCTTTGTAAATATAACTTTTTTCCAGTGCTCTCCCCCTCCAATTTTTATTTTATTTTGGTTTGCTTACAAATGTATATACATTGTGTTTCTCACTGTCCTTCACACATTAAATGTAACTTTGAGCAATTGGGGTATAACACTATTAACAAGTTACTTGTTTTGAGTCATTTTGTGGAACAAATGAGTATCAAGTATCTTTTTGTTGTTATGTACCATGGAGTTGGAACTGACCCATAGCTTACTCTCCAGTAGGTTTTGTGAGGAGTAGATTGCCCATCTTTGTCCCATGTAGCAGTTGGTGGATTCGAACCATGTCCCTTTGAGTTGGCAGAGTAGTTCCTTCCCACTAGACCACCAAAGCTCCCTAAAGTATCTTGAGACTAATAGAAATAGATTTATTGCCATTATCTTATTTCTACAGAGTACTGAGGTAACTTTTTTGTTTCCTCCATCTTATAAAGGGTGTATTTTTTTGTTTTTTCTGGTTAATTCCTCTAAGGCACTACAAGAAGTCTAGCTCTGCTTTGAATTTTTTCCATGCATAGTTTCACTATGGATGTGTTGTCATCCTAAGGACCTGTTATAGAGGAGCTCTGGTGACATGGTGTATGGTGGTTTCACCTTTCCCTGAATGGCTTGTGATCACCTGGGAAGACCTCAAGATGCATGAGCCACATCAGCCTCAATTAGATTGTCTCCTTCACTGTTCCAGGGGCCTTTCTGATTTTCTAAGAAAAGAATTGTTGTGTGTCTTTCCCCCCTTTTGTAGGAAGATCTGTTTCAGCAGCCTGGCCTAAGGTCAGAATTCGAACATATCAGGGACTGTTTGGATACTGGAATGATTGATAACCTCTGTATCCTTCAGATGTTCAGCATTCACCTCTGTCTGTGCATGTTTATTTTGGAATGACAGAAGTGAGAGAAAGGAGAGTATTTTGAGGTTCCAATGCTAATGTTATATCCTTAGCCATTATATTTTTCTTATCGGAACATTTGCATAGAGAAGACATTAAGCAATCAGTATAGTAGGACATCAAGAGGGCCTGGTTCGTCTGGCAAATAGCTTGATCCCTTCAAGAAGTCAGACTGGTATCCTCACTCTTTCCTGAGAGACTGATTGGGCGGGCTGCACTTTTGGCATGTGTTTGTTCCTTAACTCTGGGTAAAAAGCTGCAAACAATCATTCAGTAGCTGAGGCCTTGCTGCTGTTCCTTGAGAGCCTGCCAGAGCCTGTCATCTGTTACAGCGCCTATCATAACTGCCTGGAGTGTTCTGGCAGCTATTCGGCAAGTAAACAGGTAAGGGGAAGCCTTGAGCATCTGTGGACAAATGTTGACAACCCAGCACTGAAGGGGCGTGAGAGAACAAAGTGGGTCCCTCAAATGCAGTATCTTGAAAACCTAGCTTTATGTCTTCACTTCTCAAACCTGTTCTTCTCCTCTTGTCGTTTTTTCCTTAGTGCTATCACTATTCATTTCAGTGACTCAGCCCTGAAACCCGAGTCATTCATGTCTCCTCCCTGTTGCTCACCTCCCACAGCTATGTCCTATTGATCTCTCCTTCATCCTCAATCCACTTACCTGGGTTCAAGGCCCTGCATCCTGGCTTTCCCTTCGCTGGTTTGTTTTGCTTTCAGAGTGTGTTTCCTAATTCTCTCTTTTATCATGTTCATATTGCTCAAAACCCATCACTGGCTCTTTAGCATAAATTAATGCTTAATGAAATATTTAAGACTTTCTGTGGTTCGGTGTTAGTGGGTCACAATAGAATAATCTAGAAAATGTGTTAATGCAAGTTCCACTCAGAATCCCTAAATGTAGCCCAGGAATTGATTTGTATAAACTCTGCAACTTCTTCTGTTACGCACATAGAAATTCTAACCTGATCAGTCCTTCAAGGCTTACTGCCTATTAAGTAAGTTGTACTGTTGTCAAAATTGACTTCTTATAATGTGCTCTCCTGGCTTATCTGTTTTCCTTATCTAACCTCCTTGCCTGCTTTCTCTTGTTCTAAATACTTTATTCTTCTGTAAGTTCATTTTTGTCCACATTTAAGACCCAGCCAAAACACTTTGTTCCTTGAAGTCATCTGAGAGCATGTAGTTACAAGTTTGATCTCTGAATTTACGCTGTGCTTGACCCGTGACTCCCTTTTGGCACTTTCTGTGCACAGTCTTACTCGTGTACTTGGATCATGTACTTAGTTCCCGAAATATAGTAGACACTTGGAGAAATAGTTGATTGAACAAAAAGACAAACCTCAGTTCTTCCTTTTTCAGGTCATTTCCACTCTTCCTACATTCCACAAAAATGTCTTCAACTACTTGATGGCGTTTTTGCAAGAACTGCTGAAAAATTCATCAAAGAATCATTTGGATGAGAATATTCTAGGTAAGCAGCCAAGTATTTGTGAAAAGCATCTCTGCCAACTGAGAAATTCATTATGGGCAGTGTGATTGAGGACAGTCCCAAGTCCATTGCAGCAGAACTAAAATCTCAAGCCCTGAATAAAGTTTAACGTTCCACTAGTTTTTCTAAAAACAGAAAATATTTGCTTTTGGTTATTCTTCCCCCTACTCTTAGGAAAACAAGTTGTATCTTCTGCTGAATCATTTATTTTCTGTGTTTTCCATGCAGCCAGCATATTTGGCAGCTTGCTGCTTCGAAATCCAGCTGGTCAAAAAAAGCTTGAAATCACAGAGAAGAAGAAGGCTCAAGAATTTATTCATCAGTTCCTCTGTAACTCATCATGAGCCTCCGGACTTCCTCTGCTGCTTTGTTGGAAGACTCGCCTCTTTCAGCTCACGAAATACCTTAAGTGGCTGTGAGGGCCCTTGGAAGCAAGAATGACAGCTGCCTGTTTCCTAAGCCCAGAGTCCCACTATTAGCATACTCAGTGCTGTTATGAGTTGTGAAGACATAGGGTGAAATCTCTCACAACAAAACTGACACTCAATCCTCAACTTTAGTTCTTTAACACAGGTATCTCTTTACTTTTTCAATTGAAAAAAAGAACTACTTATGCTCTGCCTGTCCCCAGGGCTTAGACATTGTCTCCCCCAAGGCCTAGGCAGAGTTCTCTGTGATCAGATACCCTTTAAATAAACTGTAGAATGCTCAAAGGAGAGTGAGCTGAACAGTAAGAATGCAGATAGACTCTGCTGGCCATGCAGACCACAGCCATCTAAGCTTCCCGTGCTTAGTCTGATGACGTGTGTATGCCTATACGGACCCTATCCCCCTCCCTACTCAGATGTTGTGGCTCAGTGACTGAGGCTGGCCACTGAGGACAGTACAGTGTGTTAAAAATGAATACACAGAAGAAATTGGTGTGCTGATGAACCAAGGGTGATTTTTCTGGGACACCAGATCCTCCAAACTGTATATACTGTATACCTTTTCTCATATGTATAATATATTTTGATGATAAATGTATTTTTAACAGTGTTTGCTGTGTTTGTTTCTCTCTCTTAAAGGATGTTGGCTGTTGACAAGCAGGGGTTTTATAGTACACATATTGGGGAGGTTGGTCAGGGACCAGAGGGGTAGGTGTCTGCCTTAGCAGTCTGGTAGGTAGCAGGCACTGTTCACATTGTAATCTCACGATTGTTTCACTCTGAGAGGCAGCTTATAGGAAAAACAGGCAGTGGCTGTTGGGAGCATTGATTTTCCTGGTATTTGGGTTTTACTGAAAGGATATGAGTATACAAGAAAGACTTTTGACACTAGAACGCTGCTGCTTGGTAACGTAAAATGAGCCAGGACAAAAAATGTGAACGGTTAAAGAAAGGAAATGGCCAGTAGATGGAGTTGACTGAGAATGAGTCCTTTTGAAGCTGACAGCCTTCTGCGGGGGAAATGTTGGGGCAGAAATCTTGTGCATTAGTACCAAAGAAAAGACCCTTCAGAAAGTGGGTGAGAGAGGAGAAAGAAGCGCAGTGTCCTCTCAGGGTTGGCTTGGCATACTCCTAGCACTTTCTCTAGGTCCAAGTCTTGCTGTGTTAATTTTCCCATCAAGTCCCCATCCTCGACTATATTAACTTTAATAAGTGATGCTGGGGCCATTGAGAGTGAAATCCGAGACTACTTCTAAACTTGCTCTTTGCAGATCAGAGCTGGGATTCTGATGGCTAAGATGCCGCCAAGGCGAAAGCGACCAGGCTGGGGCGAACCTGGCTAGGGCACCTTCCGATTAGGGCTTAGGGGAGCTTCCCTGTTTCCTGCCTCTGGTGTTGGAGAACAGCGCATAGCATCCCGACCAGTCACACGGTGCCGGCAGCGCTGCACCGGCCGACTCAAGCTCACAGCTCAGACGCTGTTCCCTTGGTGCCCCGCCTTCTCCGCCCTCATCGCTCGTCAATTGGAGGCTCGAGATCAGCCCCCAGGCCGTCTAAGCCAACCAGGAGCGCGCACGAGAGACCGGGTGGTTTTTCTCCTCCTTCCTCCGGAAAGCGGAAGCGGAAGTGACGTTAGGGGAAAGGTGGGGGCAATCATGGTGCCGCTGGGGAGGGGAGAAGCTGCTACTGCCGCCGTTGCCGGGAGCCGCGGAGGTAAAAGAAGAAATTAGACTCGGTCTGGGCTTAGGGCTTCCCTGGGGGTGCGAGACTTAGGCTATCTTCTGAAGCATTTCCCAGTTGAGACCCCAATCCGGACACCATAGGGACCCCACCCCTCCTCCGTTTCCATGGGAATGGGTATCCAGCCCCCCTCTTCTGTTTCCATGGAGACCCAGACCCTGTCCCTCATCGCTCAGCTTGGAGCCCCCTATTCTGTCTTGGGTTTTTCTGTGTATCCCAGGTCTGGGGGGGTCTCCCGGACAGGTTTGTTTGCTGAGGCTCTTCTCAGGGGTGCTTCGTTCTCACTCGTTTGTCACCCTCAAATCTCCTGCTCTTGTTTGTTTCGGACAGTTGGTGTCCGCGTTGCCGCTGGTGGTGCCAGGACAGCCCAGTAGGGCCCTGGGTGTTCTTATCGCTCCTCTCAGATGCACCGAAATATGCATCTACCGGGTTGCGTAAGCCACAGCCAGGGGTCGGGCCGGTTCCTCCCGGATCCTTCCTTGGGCTATCCCCTGGTAACAATCTCTCTGTCTTACTACAATAAAAGCTCACTTCCTAACCTAGAACATGGGAGAAAGATAAAGTGCCAAGCTACAAAGAAAATGAAAAGTGTTATTTTAAATTCTCTGTTCTGCCTGTCACCCATTTGTAGCACCTTTGTGTGTGCGGGGTGACAGAAGAATCAGAGTTCCTGAACAGGAAAGCTTCAAGTTTGATATTTTGCCAGTTGAATATTTATGTGGGTCTTTCATTCATTCATCCAGCACTCCCTGAACTTTTGGTGTTGGTGTACTCTAATAGGGTCTATGAGACAAAAATAAGTAAGACCCATCGTTCCCTCACTGCAGAGTCATTAAACAAGCATAGTTTCTCGGTGGCACCAGAGTGTTTCAGAAGAAAAGGCAAAGGATCCTCATTAGATGTGCCCCATTAGGGAGCACCTTCAACCACCCAGAAGCTGAAACGTTTGTTCTAAGGAGAGAAGAAAAAAACTATTCCTCTACTATTTGTCAGAGAAGGTGCTTTGCAGACATTATCCCTTGACAATTTTGAGAACAGGAATTACTAGTCCTACTTTATGCATAAAAAGAAAATGAAGCACAAAAAAAATTCACCAAGTAGTAAAGGACAAAGCCAGGATTTGTAGCATGTGTGTGTGTGTGTGTGTGTGTGTTTGTTTGTGTGTGAGTGTGGCTCCAAAGCCTTGTTCCTTCTACTATAGACCTTCTACTATCGGCCTTGGGGTCTGACTTGAAGCATATTTGAGTGGAGCCTAGTGGGTAAGGTGTTGGACTGCCAATCCAAAGGGAGGCTGCTCCAGCTGGACAGTCTCTTCCCTTGCAATTTACAGCCTCTAAAAAGCCGCTGCAAAGTCACCTATGAGTCACTTGTGACTTGAGGGCAATGAGTGAGTTAATTCTTACTTTAAGGTTTAGATACAGAAGTTGCAAATGTTTGGTTGCTCCTTTAGGCATTTTGACTAATCTTCACATTATTTGATAGGAAGACACATTCAGACAGCCTTATGAGCTGAGTTGCAACGTACTTTGTAATTTTTTTAAGGGCATTGCTTTTCTTTAAAATGACTTTATTTCAGTGTTTTAAAAAAATCCTCATGGAAGATGATTTTGAATTTGCTTTTTCTCACTCTTTAAATGAGAAGGGAGATGAGTCCTGTTGCTGCCGAGGCCCCTGGGTCCTGTGGTATAGTTCTAACTCTGACCTTACTCTATTGCAGACGGATCATTACCTTTCCATTTTTCACAATTGGGCTGAACACTATTGAACCATGGGGGAACACAGTCCAGACGATAATATCATCTACTTTGAGGCAGAGGAAGATGAGTTGACTCCCGAAGACAAAATGCTCAGGTTTGTGGATAAAAACGGACTGGTGCCTTCCTCATCTGGAACTGTTTATGATAGGACAACTGTTCTTATTGAGCAGGACCCTGGCACTTTGGAAGATGAAGATGATGACGGACAGTGTGGAGAACATTTGCCTTTTCTAGTAGGAAGTGAAGAGGGCTTTCACCTAATAGATCATGAAGCAATGTCCCAGGGTTATGTGCAACACATTATCTCACCAGATCAAATTCATGTAACAATAAACCCTGGTTCCACTCCCATGCCAAGAAACATTGAAGGTGCAACTCTCACTCTGCAGTCTGAATGTCCAGAAACAAAACGCAAAGAAGTAAGTAAAGATTTGGGGTAAGGGTCCAATTTGACACTGATGAACATTGGATGCTTCAGCTAGGAAGTACAAGACAGTCACTACGTAAGCATTATGCTTTGTTTTGATTGCTTTTTTTCTTTCTGAAACGTTTGCATTGTAGGGCCTTATTAAAATGTTAGAAGACTATAATTCCCCAAATCATAGATAGAATAGAGATTACGCTGAGAGGCAGTTCTGTGGTTCTGATACTGCCATAACTAGGTTAATTTTATCTGGTAGTGAAATAACTAGATTTGACTCATCTTTGGGTTGTATATAACTAAATGGTTTGTTTTGGAGATGAATATCTGATGGCATATGCTTTATTATATTACATTGTGTTTATGAAGAATAACAGGCTTGCTTTCACAAGAATTTCAGCAAGAAATAGTAAATGAGAGTGTTGTTGTTAAGTGCCATTGAATCAAGTATTGAGATCTGAACTGTGTCCGTTCTTATGCCACCCTTATCATCCTTGACACTTTTGAGTCCATTGTCACAGACACTGTATCAATCAATTCAATTAAACATCTTCCTCTCTTTCACTAACCCTCCACCTTTGCCATGTATGATATCCCTTTCCAAGGAATAGCCTCTTCTAACATGTCCAAACTATGTGGCACATAGCTTCACTATCTTTGCCTCCATGGAATCCGTTGGTTGCACTTTATCCGAGAACTATCTGTTCTCTTGGTAGTCCTTCTGAAGTCGTTCTTCAGTACTCTTCTCCAACACCACAACTCAAAAGTATCAGTTCTTTTGTCATCTTTATTCACTGTCCAGATCTTAAATGTATAGCAGGCGATTGGAAAGACTGAGCATAGATTCGAGCACACCTTAGTCTTTCAACTGACATCTTTGCTCTTCAAAACTTTGAAGAGTTCCCTGACAGCTATATGCCTCCTGATTTCCTGACTGCTGGTACCAAGGTTGTTAACTGTGGATTCAAGCAAGTTGACAGTTTAAGTGTTCTCTCCATCTGTTGGGGACACATACAGTAAAATTGGAAATGAGAATAGTTTATCTAAAATAAGATTTCCCGCTCATGTTTGACAAATGCAAGTTTATACATGTCAGAATGTTTTGAAAACTTTAAAGCATTGTACAGATTGTACTGGTGGTGGTGGTGATTAGTGGTGATTAGTGATTTAGTGGAATAAAAGATACAATTTATAGGTTTCTAAGAACTGGTTACAGATTGTTGTTGTTGTTATGTGCCATCCAGTCGTTTGTGACTCATAGCGACCCTATGTACAACAGCCCTAAACTGTGCTCTATCCTGTGCCAATCTCATTGCCTCTGACACACCCATCCCGATTACTCCAGTCACTGAATCAGTCCACCTCATAGAGGGTCTTCCCCTCCTGCGCTGTCCCTCTTCTCTACCTAGCATGATGTCCCTCTCTAAAGACCTGTCTCTCCTTACAACATGTCCAAAGTATGTCAGATGAAGCCCCAGAATCCTTGCCTCCAAGGAGTAGCCTGGTTTAACCCTCTCTAGGATGAATCTGTTTGTTTTCTTGGCAGTCCATGGTGCATTCAATACTCTTCTCCAGCACCACAGCTCAAAGGCGTCAATTCTCCTTCTGTCCTCCCTAGTCATTGTCCAACTCTCTGATGCATAACAAGTGATTGCAAAAACCATGGCCTGTATCAGGCACACCTTAGTCTCCAGAGAGACACCGCTGCTCTTGAGTACTTTAGAGAGGTCCCTAACAGCAGACTTTCCCATCGCAATACGGTTTTTTTTTTATTTCCTGGCTACTGGTGCCAAGAATGTTGACCCTGGAGCCGAGCAAACTGGAGCTTGTGAACAATCTCAGTCTCTTCGCCATCCATCCTGATGCTACGATTGGTCCAGTGTTACAGATTAGTTAGAAAAAAATGGGATATTTGCAATTCAAGGGAATAAGTATGTAACAATTATTTTATTAGGTGTTACCAAATTGAAATAGGGCAAACTATTCAACAAAATATGTCTTTTATGGTAAGTAAAGTCTTGTTATCTAAGAATTTTATTATTCATGACATAAGGACTTTCCTTTGCTTGCCTAGTTATCTAGAGCTAAAAGGAACTTGAGAGAGACCTTCTTACCCTACCTAGGACCTTATGCAGGAATCTACAGCATCTCTGACATGAACTCGTGTGGTCTCTACTTGAACCCTTCTGGAATGACAGGAGCACAGTGTTTCACAGTTTAGCCCAACACATTTTTGGCCAGCTCTTATTGTTAGAAAGCTTTTACTTGCATAGAGCCAAAATCTGTCTTCCTGCAACTACCACCCACTGGTTCTTGTTCTGCCTTCTTGAATAACAGTGAGTTAACTTGACAGGACAACCTCTCAGATATTTAGTGATAGTTTTTGTGGACTTCTTTCCATCTTTTCTTCTATAGGCCAAACACTTCTATTTATTTAAGTAACCCTTTTATAACCTTTCTTTTTGTCTCTCATTAGCCTGATAACCGTCAATTGTACAGATTACAGTTTTCCATATCAAATCAGACCCACAGCCATTGAGTTGATTTCAACTCCAGAGGTTCTAAGGCCATAAATTCCTAAGGGAGGAGACTGTCTTTCTGAAAAGGAGTGGCTAGTGGAATCTAAAGAGACTTTTGGGTTCTTTCCAAAGTCCTGTTAAAATCTAGAATGGAACAAAATCTCACAAGTGAAATTTATCCAGCACTGAATATAATTGGAGTCCTTACCTCTTCCTTGTGACTCTATAAAATTTTAAAATAATTTCTATTTCATTAGTAACAGTATCACACTGTCATTTGCACTAGGAAGCCTCTAGGTTAGTAGTTATCAAGTAGATTAACTTGGGGTCAGGAGACAGCAGTGTTCAGAAACTTGATTGTCACACTAGTGAATAGAGGACAGAAAAGGTTAAATATTTTACAGTTCACAGACCAGCTCCCTTACACCAAAGAATTATCTGGTCAAAAATGTCAATAGTGCTATGATTAAGAAACTCTGCTCTTCATTATTCTTGTGAGCTGCTGTCAAGACAGATCTCCCTTTCATTTTAAGTAATATTATGGGAAAGTCTGCATTAAACCCTAAGAATACATCTGTACTAAGTTTTACCTTGTTGACTTCAGCCCAGTATTTGAGTATACCAGTTTATTTCAATTCAGCAAGCATTTATAAAGTGAGATGTGTTGCAAAGTGTGAATGTCACAAAGATGACTATGATATTCTGTGGTATAAAAGTAGAAATAAACTTGTTTCATTAATACTAGGCATACTGTAAATATTAGGGAGAGGTTCAGGTACTGCCTTGGAAGGAAATAGAAGTTCACCTTTAGTTTTTAATGAAAAAGAGTTTTTAATGAAAAAGATAGTAGTGTGTTGCCGAGTTGGAACCAACCACAGAGTTGACCTAGTATTGGGTTTTCGGAGGAAGTGAATCATATGTGAGGAGATTGCTTATCCTTCTGCAGAGTAGCTGGTAGATTTGAACCATGTACCTTTGGAATTACAGTGCAGCCACCATAGCTCCCTAGATAGGCTTTAAGAATATGTCATTTAGATTAAAAAGCAATGAAATAAGTTTCCAAGTGATGGGAACAACATGAACAAAGATGTGGAAGTGGGAAAGCACATGTCATTTTCAGGGAGTTACCTGTTAGAACAGGGGTGAGCATATATTTTTCTATAAAGGATTGAATCAGAAGTATTATAGGCCTTCCAGGTCATATTGTCTTTTTCAAAACTACTTACCTCTATACTGCAGCACAAAACCGGCCATAGACAGTACATACAAAAGTGAGTTCCATAAAACTTTGTTTACAAAATAAGTTTATTGTTGTTAAGTGCTGTCCAGACTACAACTCATAGCAACTCTATGAGTAATGGATCTGTTCCCTGCCCTGTCTTGTGACATCCTCATCATCTCTGATATAACTGAGTCCATTGATAAACTCACTCTCTATCTCGTTGAGAGTCTTCTGCACCTTTGCTGACCCTCCACCTTTTCAAGCATGATATCCTTTTCCAAGAACTGGCCCCTTCTGGCAACATGCCCAAAATATGTGAGACAAAACTTCACAGTTCTTGCCTCCAAGTAGCACCCTGGCTTCTCTCTCTTTCAAGACATATTTGTTTGTTCTCTTGGTAGTCCATGGGATATATAATATTCTTCTCCAACATCACAACTTAAAAGCATCAGTTTTTCTTCGGTCACAGTTACTCATTGTCCAAATTTCAGATGCATAATAAGTAATTGAAAAGACTATGACTTGAATTGGGTGCACCGTAGTCTTTAAACTGACATCAAGACTCCTTAACCCCTTAGAGAGATCCTTGACAACAGATTTGCCTACTGTAATATGTCTTTTGATTTCTTGATTGCTAGTGCCAAGTGTGGTGTTGATTGTGAATCCAAGCAAGATGAAATTATTAACCGCTTCAACCTTCTCTCCATCTCTCATGGTGTTGTCTATTGACGCAATGGTGAGGATTTTTGTCTTTGTAAAATTCAGTTGTGATCCATCCCATCTTTGATCTTCTTCAGCAAGTGTTTTAAGTTCTCTTTGCTTTGGGCTAGCTAGTAAGGTTGTATCATATGCATAATGCAGGTTGTTAATGAGTCCTCCTCCTACCCTGATGCCACATTCTTCTTGATAAAATGCAGCCATTTGAATGATTTGCTTGTCATACAGACTAAATTGGTATGGAGGAAGGATGTAGCCTTGCCACCTTTCTTGATTTTAAACCATAAAGTGTTCCCTTGCCCTATTTGGACAGCAGGTTCTTGGTCTAGGTACGGGTTTTACTTGAGCCCAGGCAGTTAGGTGCATTTGGCTTTTTTGATTGTAGTTTGCTGATTACTAGATTAGACAGTATAGTAGTAGGTAGATAGGGATGGAGAGATAGTGGAGGTAATGACATACAAAGTAGGGATAGTATAGGTGTAGACTATATTCTGAAAATAGTAGAAAACCATTGTAGATTGGTTTTGTGTTGTGGTTTTT